CCTGTCCCGCTCTGCCTTTGGATCCCCCTCCTGGCTCCGGGCTCCTCAACGAGAGGAGCGATGCTAGGGCAGCACAGTGAGGAATTTCCAGCCATGGGCTAGTGAAGGTGTTCCGGAAAAATGGGGACCACCTTCGGGACAGTGGATTTTGAGTCGGAGGGGTGCCAAGCAGTAAAAGCCACACGCCAGCAGGAAGGATGACTTCTGCCGAGACTCTGGCCGACCCGGCCTGCCAGCCGCAGGGTCTCCGAGTCCTGGACCTGTCGTGTGGCGCTGCGTCCTGGTGTGTGTGCGAGTGTGAGATGGGGGCACGCAGGCAGAGGCAGATCACGGGGCCGGGCAGCGTCCTGGCCAGGGAGCATGGACTGCTGTTGGGTCTTTTGTGTAGGCACTCCACCCTGTTGTGAACCCTTACTGGGAGCGCAGCTCTGTGCTTGGCACCCTGCCCTCAGGTAAGCCAGGTGAGGTTGTGCGTCGAGATGCTCAGGGCCTGGGGGGGATGGTCGGCCCAGGCCTGCCCCCTTCCCGTGGAGGCTGGGCAGTCAGTTTCAGGAGGAGGCGGCGGGGGGAGCGCCGGTCCCGGGGCTCCCCTTACACATGCCAGGCCCCAGGCAACCCCACCTTGTTGTCTGGGCGGCCTGGCCCTGGGACAGCCTTGTGCTGAGGCCATGGAGCGGGACGTTCCACTGGCTGAGGGGGGCGTGGGGCACAGGGCCCTGTGCCAGACGGTTCCCCCTGGCTACCAGCGCAGACATGGAGGGGGCTGGGGAGCGAGGCTGAGGGGCAGCCTGCATCCACGTGGGAAGGACTGGCCAGGCCCTCAGTGCCCTGCCCCGGAGCCCTGGCCACCCCGACGCCTCCAGCGAATGGTAGGCTCTTTGCCCCACCCTTGCCCACCTGGCACCTCTCCTGTGGTTTTGCTGCAGACTCCTGTTTAATTAGAGGCTTTTCCCGAGTTCCCAGGGAAGGCTGGTGGACAGAAAGAGCCCTCTGACCATCGGGCAATGCCTCCTACCTCCCACCCCCTCAATACCTGTTCCACACATGCATCCCAGCCACAGGCTGTAGGCTGAGCTGGATTCCGCACCGTGAGGCTTAGCCAGCCTGGCCTAGGACAGTCAGCTCTGGTCCTCCGTCAGGTGAGAGGCCTCTCTGTGGTTTCCTGGCCAAAGCTAGCCCTCCCCAGGGACGGGGGGTGGGGGGGAGGTTGCTGAGAAATGTGCTGTGGGGCCACCCTCTCCCTCCCTCGGAGCAGACCGGCCCTACCCACTTCCCGGGCAGAGTGGGACTCTGTGACTGTCTTCCTGAAGCTGGCACCTTGGACCCCAGGCTCTGGTCCTAAGACTTCCTTCCAGGGGTCCCACTCCACCAGCCAGGCTTACAGTTCTGGGGGCCCAAGAGCCAGAGTCAGGGCTTAGATGGCAAGGCCTTCTCGGAGGCAGGAGCTTACATTCAAAAGCCCCCAGGCCGGAGGGACCTGTGGAGGGTTTCCGTCCCACCTACTGGGCCAGGGCTCCAGGCGTTTGTGCCCTTAGGTGGCGAATGGTGGCCAGAGTCCCAGGTTCTTGAGGGAATGGGCCCTGAGGCCTTGGCCCTGTCTGTCACAAGGCCTGCTCAAGGCTGATGATGTCTGGCTACCACTCTCTTGGGGACCCTATCAGGATAAAAAGGCCCCGGAGGCTTCCAGGAAGCTTCCCAGGCCCTTGGCTGCTGCTCCCCCAAATTCCAAGATAAGGCAGAATTTTTGTATCTGTGGTCAGTGAGGTCATCAGGGCTGCTTTTCTCATCGTCATTATTCAAGGGGCAAACTGGCCCAGGATCCTGTACTGAAAAGGTTAAAATAAATGTCAGAGAGCCTAAGCACCCCTGCCCACTTTCGCTCGTGGCACACCTGAAAGCGATCACTAGACCAGCTGGAGGCTGAAGCACACATGGAAATGCTGGGCGTGAGCCGGGAGGAGCAGGCGGGAGTGGGGCCTGACCACACGGTGCTCTGGAGGTTCTCTCAGGGCGTGGGCGGCTCTGGGCAGGAGTGCTGTGATCTGATTTACATGGTTGCTGGATGGAGGACTGGTGGAGGGGCAGGAGGCCACTGGAGTCGCCCGGGTGAGAGGTGACTGACAGACTGGAGGCGGGATGTGAGAGAGTCAAGGACTACTCCAGGGTGTCTGAGCAACTGCAAGGAGGGAGTGGCCATTAACTGAGGAAGACGGAGAACAACAGCATTTGGGGCAGGAAACCAGAGGCTCTTCTTTGGACATACTGAGTTTGGGGAGCATTTCAGACTTCTGAGTAGATGTGGTGAGTAGGCGTTTGGGGAGTGCAGTTCCCTAGAGGAAGCAGGGGCTGAGATCGGAATGTCAGTCATCAGATGAAGGCGTGGAAAGCTGTGACCCTGGATGAGAGCACTCTGGGAATGAGGGGAGATGGAAAGCCAAGGGCCCATCTTGGGTCAGGTCAGGAAGATGAGCAGGCAGGAAGCAGGCTGACAGAGAGCAGCCTGTGAGCTTGGAGGCAAGTCAGGTTTGTGTGGCATTCTGGAAGCCCAGCCAAGAAACTGTTTCAAGGAGGAAGGAGAAATGAGTTGTGTCCAGTCCCGCCGAGAGGTCAGGCCGAAGGAAGACTGAGCATTGAGTTCAGTAGTGTGGCAGTCGCTGGGGACCGCGACAGGAGCCATCTGGTGAAGCGACGGTGCGAGGGACGGCTGGGCTGAAGGGCAGCACGAGAACGAAGAACGGGAGCCGAGGATGGGGGTGGCGCAGCTGCGTTTTGCAACAAAGGGGAGCGGGACATGAGCTGGTGGCTGAGGGAGCATTTACGGCGGGAACGGGCAGCCTGTCGGGACCCCGGTGGGAAGGCTGCTGGGCTTGGCACAGTACCTGGCAGGCGGCGGGCACGCAGTACACGAGGGATCCCACCGGCGTCCTCGCGCCCCGCAGCTGCCCCAGCCCAATTCCCCTCTCTTGCCAGCCCTTGCCGGCAAGCCTGAGGGGCCTCCGTTCTACCCTTCGTTCCCACACACACTCTGGCTCTGTCACAGTGGTGTCTCCGGGTCCGGGCTGCGGATAAAGAAGGCCTGAGTGTGGCAGGAGCCTCCCGGCTTGCTCAGAAAGCCCTGCCTTAGAACAGCGGGCAAGTCGCCGCGCCCACGGCCTGGGGACACCATGGCCCCGTCCTCAGCCTCCAGGGCTGAGGTTGCCAGTGGGCTGCCAGGTGGGTCTTCCACCCTCAGGCAGATCCCCCCCCTGGCAAATTCAGACCACAACTGGCCCGTGTGAGGCCAGCACCGCAGGGCCAGGGAAGGACTGTGAGGAGCATTTCCTTTGTGCACGTGAGGGGCTCCCTGCGTGTCCCTTCCTCATGACGCAGCACCTGAGGAATTGAGCCCTTGGGTATTGTGTGGCTTTGCCCTTACAGCAACCCTGTGATCCTCTCCATTTGACACGATACTGTAGTCCGTTCTTGAAGGCCACACACGTTAGACCCAGGAGCTCCACGGGGCCAGCCGATGACTCCTCAAGGTCACAGGGTGCTCACGAGGGGGCTGTGGTGCTGCCGGGACACCACCCCGACTGCCTGAGGACAGAACGCAGGCTGCTTAGTCCCGGGATGTGAGGCTCTGCCCCGTGGGCCGATGAACGGCCAGGGGACTGCAGATGTGGCGGCCCCGAGGGAAGGGTGCTGCGGCCAGTAGGCCCGCCTCAAGCTCCCCTGGCAGCAGGTGTGGGGGACAGGGCAGCCAGGGCTGCTGCCAGGGGGAGGGGGTGAGCCTGTGTCCACCTGGAAGCCTCACACCTCGGCTGAGTTGCAACTCACACCTGGCCTTCCCTCTCGCCTCACCGGACCCCAAACAGCCAATCCCAAGGGGACCTGTGCCAGGCCTCCTCACCGTGAGCTACCCTCAGCTTTCCCAGACCTGGTGATGAAGGATCACGAACTCCAGTACACGAGAGAGGGAACTGAAGCCCAGAGATGGGAGGGAGTCTGGCTGAATTCACCCAGTGGGAAATTGCACCCTGGGAAGGGAGCCCAGGCCACAACCTCTCACCACTGTGCTGCTCCAAAGATGTCCTGCTGCTTCTGTGCCATGAGTCAGAAGTCACTTATCTGTGCTCCTAGCCACAGAAGCCCCACAGCTGAACTTTCCAAGTGGAAGCTGAGCCTCAGTGGTAGATGATGTCTCCAGGATCCCGGCTTGTGCAGGGGTGCGCTGGGGATATGCAGAGCTGTGCCTTGGCCCCGAGCAGCACCTCCCTGTGGCTGGGTCGCATGGGGAGCCCCCTTCCCGGCATGAGTCATCTCATGACAGATCCATGTGACTAGTGTGAAAAGTAAGAGTCCTGTGTTGCTGAGGAAGCAGGAAGTGTGGGGGCTGGGTGGGCTGGCCCTGGAGGGAGCCTGGCCCCACCTAGCCCACCTGCTCTGAGTTAAAGGGCGGATGGGAGCCTTCCCTGTCTCCACAAATCCTGTGAAGCCTGAGGTGGAATAGTGGGTCTGACTCCAAACCCTGAGTCTGGGGGCTGGAGGAGGAGGAAAGAAAACTCCAGGCTGTCCTGGGGTAAGCCAGGTCTCAAGACCATTACCTGATGTCTGGGGCTGGAGGCCGTGAGCAGCCCCCCAGACAAGCCCCAGGGCCTCAGAGAAACCGGGGGATGAGGGGGTGGGGCCGGCGGGGGGAGGAGTGTCTCAGACCCAGAGGCAGAAAGAATTTCCTGGACAGGGGAGATGTGCCTCTGGGATTAAGTGTATAGAAACCGAGAGGCTCTCTAGGTGGTAGGGCTGCTTGAGCAAAGCGTGCGGGGCTGTGGGCAGGGCCGCTGGACATAGGATGGCTGGAGTGGTGCCCCCTCCCTGAGGCCTGTGGTTTTAACCACCCCACTTTCCTTTGACATTTGGGCTACCCGCACAGCTAAAACAGGCTCTGTCTATATGTATGCCCCCAGCCCTGGGCCTTCCTCCTTCGGGTCTCCCCACATTCACACCCCCCCCTCATTTTTCAGCACAACAAGGCCAGCCAGCCAGCCCACAGCGTCCCACAACTCTCTCCTCTCTATGAACATTTCAGCAGCCCCCACCCTACACCTGCACCAGCCGACATCAGCCAGAAACAAGGTACGGATCTGGGAAGGGGAGGGGCCTGGCAGTCCCAGAGCCTGGGGGCCGAGTCCCTAGCTTCTGAGTCCAGGGGCTAGGCCCTTTTTACAACTGGAAAACCTGGGGCTGGGCAAACTCAAAGCCCAAAGAAAACACGAGGAAGGTGGATGGGGAGCCTGAGGGCAGGTGGTGCCAGGTCAAACTTGGGAGGCTTCAGGTTGAGGTAGGAGCCTAATCCCGAGGGGCCTCCCAGTGCCAGGACGTGGGAGCAGGCATCTGTGTAAAGCTGAGGACAATAAAACTTGGATCCTTTCCCTCCCCCCAGTGAGAAAATGGAAAGTGGTGGTTGTGATGGCTGATTCACCTCAGCCTCAGGGAAAGTCATTCTGAAATCAGCCATTGTCGGCTGTGGGAAACGTGCTGACTCAACCCTGGGGGGGCAGAGGGGGTGGGTGGAACCCAGGCTGCCCAGGCCAGGGGGCCTGCGTCCTGCACACAAAGCCAGGCCAGAGCCCCCAGCCGAGAGGCCCCAGGTGAAGACCAGCCGTGGACCAGGGCCCGGTGAGGCCTGGCCTGCCCAGCCCACCCCTCAGTGTCTCCACCTCTCCCCTGGCCAGCCAGTATCCTTAAGGCTGGTCACCCAGCCTCTCTGCCCTGTAAATGGGGCACTGTCATCACACTGGCATAGTCCTGAACAAACCGGTATGTCTGGTCCTCCAGCAGATGGAGGGAGGGTCTTAGAGGCCCCACAGGAGGCTCTAGGGTGCAGTCCCAGGTCAGGCTAGCTCACTCACTCGGCCCCTCTCCCCTGTAGGAGTTCACAGGCCTCTGCAGACCCCTGACCTCTCTGGCTTCTACTCTCTGACCTCAGGCAGCATGGGACAACTCCCCCACACTGTGAGCTGGTGAGTGTGGGCCCGGCGGGAAGGGGGCGCCTCGCGCTGGGGAGACCCATACTGGCCGGGTCCCTTTCCTCCTGCACCCTGCTCTGCCGGCACTCTGCTGCCAGCCCTGTGTCGGCACTGGGGGCCGTCCAGCAGCTCTGTCTATTCCCCAGGCGGCCCGCTGCACTCCCCTTGACTCCTGGTCTCAGTCCAGCCGCACGTGAACTCTGCCTCCATGTCGGAGAGCCTCGAGTGGCGTGGGGGTGGGGGGCACGGCGAGCTGCCCAGGGTTCTAAGAGTAGGTAAGGAAGAAAAGGGAGACCTGCCTGGGCAGGGAGGGGACAATACGAGTGGCCACGAGACAGGCTTTTACCTCTCAGCCACGTGGTGGGCAAGGGGCTACTTCCTTCTCCCGTCAGTGCCTCCTGCCGACGGTCCCTTGGCCGAGCTCCCTGAGGAGCAGAGTTCTCCTGCGCCCCCCTTCTGGCACCTGCTCGAGCCCAAGCCCAAGCCCCTGGCCAGCTGCTTAGAGAGCCCTGGAGTCTGTGAAGACTGTGCCGGCCCGAGGCAGCCTGGACCTTAAGTCAGCAGGCCCAATTGTGGGCCACAGGGCCCGTCTTCAGCCGGAGCTGGGCCTCGACAGGCTGGTTGGCCCTCTGCTCGTGACCCACAGCGTGAGGTGGACAGGTCTGCAGCCTCTCTGGGCTGGGGCAGTCACCCAACAGCAGGAAAGCACGGTTTGCCAGGAAGGAAGGGAAGGCCAGAGGCCCACGCTGAGACCTGCCTGCCCTTTTCCACGTGCTCTTTATCCGTGTTCAGCTCACTCCGTTGCCTGATTCTCCTCAGACAGTGCCCCACTCTGAATACCAATCAGGACTCCGCCTAGGAATGCCCCCAGGATTGGAGCTGGCCGGGCGGGGTTCTGGACGCCAGCGCGGCACTGCTGACGCGGGCCGACCCTCAGGCCCCTGCCGTCTCGGGGCCTGATCCGCCAGAGGCCTGACCGTGACAGGGCCGTGTTAGTGCTTTCAGTGGGGACTGTAATCACCCAGCTTGGGATTTCAAGGGCTTTCAGGAGAAAAGGTCATTTAGCCAAGCAGGGCCAGAAGGCAGGCCAGGAATCAAAAGGGGGCAAAATAATCCAGTCATTTTAACAGTGGATGCAGAAGCCCTAAGGCAGATGTCAACCCCGTATTGACCAGGAAATAAGGCTGGAGGTGAGCTGACGCGGCAGGGGGGGGGGGGGGGGGTGTCGCGCTTCCTAAGCTGGGTCCTAGGAGGATGCTGCCATTTCTGCCCCTTAAGCGCCAGGAGCAGTCTGTGGAGCAAAGAGCACGGGTGCCCTCTGGTGGCAGATGCCAAGTACACACTCTGGAGAGTCCTAGCAGAGGCCGATCCCCTGCACCCGGTGGGGAGGTCCTGCCCCACATCTGGCCGGTAGCCAGACTGCTAACAGCTGTCTCTCCCAACCACAGGCCCAGCCCTCCTCTCTACCCCTTGTCCCCTTCCTGCGGATATAGACAGCACTTCCCTGCCCCCACTGCAGCCCCTGGCGCCCCCTACCCCAGGTGAGTCCCGAACCCTGCAGCCAGGCTCCTGCTTCCTGTTGCCCAGGCTTCAGTGCCCACACGAGGCCGTGCCCAGGCCAGTGCTTGCCCTGTGCTAGTTGTCTGTCCAGCCGTCCGTCCGTCCTTCTGCAGCCCCCTGCTGCGCTGTGCCTGAGAATGAAGCCAGGGGGAGAGCAAGGGGCCTGAGGCCGGGCCATACCCTGCAACCAAGCGCCCTGGGGCAGCCAGGGACAGTGCAGGCACGTGTGCGCTCATGCTCCTGCTTCTGTGCGTGCGGGAGCCCGCCCAAGTGCACGTGTGCGTGCACTCACCCCTTTGTGCCTCCCTGCTGAAGGGCGGGTCAGGCACGCTCTCTTGGGCCTTCCGTGAGCTCTGCCCGCGCCGAGGCACCACCTTTTCCATGTGTCTCCAACCGCGGGCCCTTCTGGTGGTTTCCCCAGAAGAGCAGAAACGTGAAGTGACAGGTGTGTGTATGTGTGTCCCTTCACTCACTCCCTCAGTGACAGAGCTAAGCCAGGGACGGAACAAGAGCTCAGCAGATATGTCCAGCCCTGCTAGAGTTCACAGGCCAGGGCAGGAGGTATGGACAGAGCGCGAACAGTCAAACGGGCTAGGGCAGGGGCATGGGCCGGGAGAGCTTCACGAAGAGTCACATGTCCTGAGTGAAGCGGCCAAGGGGAACAGCACTGGTCGGGGACGGCTAGAGGTGTAAAGTGATGGAAAACGGGAAAGGATGGGGCAGATAGTGTCAGCGGGGTAGGTCCCATGGAGGATCCTGGGTCTCACTCGGTGGGCTGCGGGGGAATTTCAGCAGGGGTGGCCAAGAGCACTCAGGCGTTTACAAAGGTCACTCTGCGTGTTGTGTGGAGAGAGGCCTGGAGGGTTCAAGCAGGAGAGGAAGGAGACTCAGAGGGCAGCCACGGCCCCAGGAGGCTGAGCTGGTGAAAGCGTAAGGTAAGGGGACAGATTCCAAAGCTATTGAGGACTGACTTCATAGCCACCTGAATGACATGTGTGCGGGTTTGTGCAGTGTGTGTGTGGTGTGTTGGGAGCAGGTATTTGTGTGTAGCTGTGTCCTTGTGTGCAAGCTTGTGGGGGTGGCATGTGCCCCCGTCCTCGTGTACTGTGCAGGGGCCGCCAGGTGTCCAAGGTGTGGCCCATACATTCCTGGCTCAGTGTTAACTCTCCTTCTGCCTTTAGGTTCACCCACCCACCCCTGATGCTAGGCTCTGGTGTGCCTGGCCACCCCGCGGCCATCCCCCACCCGGCCATCATACCTCCCTCAGCGAAGCAGGAGCTGCAGCCGTATGACCGCAGCCTGTGAGTGAGAAGGCGCCCAATGTGGAGGAGGCAGGGGAACAAGGGGGCAGACCTCAGGGTCCCATCTGTCCATCAGCCAGACACACTCCTCCCACCCGGCTCTGCGCCTGCCACCTAGAAGCTCCAGGGGCTGCCAGGGGCGGCCTCGGCTGAGCCATCTCGTGGTTCTCGCCACTGGCTGACCTGTGTTTTGTTCGGGCTTTTTTTTTGTTGGTTTTTGTTTTGTTTTTTACTTAAGCAATCTCTTCACCCAGTGTGGGGCTCGGACTCCCGGCCCCACCATCAGGAGTCATAGATTCCTCCAAGTGAGCCAGCCAGCACTCGGCCCCCACCTCCCCCAGCCAGTGTTTTTTGATCCTCAGAAGGAGGAGGGGATGGATGGGGTGGGGAACAGAGATTTGGTTTGAGCCAACAGGGGAGGGGCTGAGAAGTCCTTAAACGTGTTCCTCTTAGCTGCAGTATTCCTGGAAGGAAGGGTTACGTAGCTCTGATCACCCATTTTGGAGCAGCTGGGAAGGATACCGTTTACAAAACCTCCGTTTCCACGCATTTACCCACACACTGGACACACGCTAGAAAAAGGCAGGAGCGTTAGGTGGACACCGGGGGGGCTCCTGAGTGATCTGGACATATACCCCTCAGGAAGACGCAGGCAGAATCCAAGGTGGAGAAGGAGGCCAAGAAGCCAACCATCAAGAAGCCCCTGAACGCCTTCATGCTGTACATGAAGGAGATGAGAGCCAAGGTCATCGCAGAGTGCACACTCAAGGAGAGCGCGGCCATCAACCAGATCCTAGGCCGAAGGGTGAGGCCATGGGCAGGTGGGCTGGCGGGAGTGGGCCCTGACCACCTCCACCCTGGTGCTCTTGATTCCTTGGTGCACCCCATATCTACCTCTTCTCCCCCACCGCAGTGGCACGCGCTGTCTCGGGAAGAGCAAGCCAAGTATTATGAGCTGGCCCGAAAGGAGAGGCAGCTGCACATGCAGCTGTACCCAGGCTGGTCAGCGCGGGACAATTATGTGAGTGGCCAGTGACACACAGTAGGGACGGGGAGGGGAACCTTCAAGAGGCCATGCCCCGGGCCACAGTCTCCATAGGGAAAGCCAGACCACTGTCCTGAAGGTAGAGACAAGGAGGGCAGGTGGTGGAGTGCAGGGGCCCAAGGCCTCACATGGCTGGTCTGAAGAGAGCTAAGCAAGGGAAGCTGCCCCTTGAAGGCAGGCCCATGTCCCCTCTTCCACTTGGGATGCACTCCCCCGACAGGGCTGTTGCCTGGTATTTGGCCACATAGGCAGGAGGGGAGTGAGGGGCCTTGTAAGTCATCGCCTCCATTCAGAAGGGAGACCCGCACGGGAAAGGGAGGAGGAGCCTCTAACTGCCCCATGGTGCCCTGGCAAAAAGTGCCATCAAGAAACACCAGGCCTCCTGGGGAGGAGGGAACTGTGTACCCAGAATCTCAGCAACAGCCCGGCTAAGGCTGCAGGTCTCCCAACCACACACTCACTGGAATTATCAAGGGACCACTTCCCAGATCTGAGCAGAATCCCTCCCTCTGTTCCCTGCAGGGGAAGAAGAAAAGGCGGTCACGGGAGAAGCACCAGGAATCCAACACAGGTGAGGCCTCCTCTCAGCAGCAGAGACTGCTCTCCAAGCCTGCATTTTCATGAGCACCCTGCTCTGGCCCAGAGGGAGGGGCAGAATTCTAGCTACAGACCTTCAGGCCTTGGGCCCTCTGGAAACAAGGCCCACTTCTCACATGTCAAATCCCCATGTGAGGAACAATTACACGACATCCCTTTAACAGTGTAACACTGGCGTGCTGACCCACCGCACCCTCGCACCTTTGCCAGCCCTGCTCACAGCTAGCCTCTGCCAGAGACACTGAGCCTGTGGTTCTGCTGAGATGGGCATGCGGGCTGTGGGGGTGGAGGTGCAGCTGTGCCTAGGCCCAGAAGTCCCACAGCCGGCTGCTCGGTGCCTGGCCATTTCTCGGTCACCTGCCCACCCCCATCCCTGTTTATTTAGGCAGTGCAAAGTGCTCTGTATGGAGGACCCAAGGAAGCCACACACTGCTTCAGGTCTCCCCCCTGTGGGGGAATTCTTGCCCCAAGTCTGGTAACGCAGGCTCCACATCCATGACTATCTCAGCTCTGCGGTCCCCACCCAGGAGAGCTCGAGGCTAGGCCTGAGGCGGGGTAGAATCCTTGCCCTTTTTCTGAGGTTGAAGTATGGACTTTGCCGTCCATCTGGCTTCAGCTACAGCATGAGGGGGTTATGGGCTAGGTGGATTAAGCACTGGCAAAAAGGAAGAAAAACCGGGTAACGTGGGCAGGGAGATTATGGGGGGTGGGCAGCCCTGAGGCAGTAGAGGCTGGATCCCCGTGGGCCTCCCCTGGGCTTTTCTCCTGCAGCTCCCATGCTGCAGCCAGGCAGAGGAGCTAACCTGCTAGGATCCCCTCCCTCCCTCCACCATTCTTCCCACTGCCTCTCCTACCTAGCTAGGTGCCCAGCTTTCCTGATAACTTGGCTCTGGGTCCTGGGGCTCCCACTGGGGCTGGCTGTGCCAGGGAGAGGCCCGCTGCCTACGGGGCCTATGGGGAATCTGTGACTGGCTGACACTGATGTTACCTCTTCTTTCTGGGCCCTGCTCTGCCCTGCTGCCTGCCTGCTCGCCCTCTGCCCTGCTCTGCCCCTCTGGCATGGCTGTGAGCAGACCCTGGCTCGCCTAAGAAATGCCGTGCTCGCTTTGGCCTCAACCAGCAGACGGATTGGTGTGGTCCGTGCAGGTGGGTTTGTCCCCACCACCATCCTCCCTTTGCTTCAAGCTGCTTCCCTGACTCTGCACATGTTCTGCTGGGCCTGTAGCCCTCCTTTTGGTCCCCCAGTCCCATAGCATACCCACAGATTGGGGAACCCATGTCTCCTAAGAATGGAGAATGTTCGAGAAAAGAAAGGCAGACTCAAGAAGGTAGTTCTGGCCCCTGGTGCCTAGGGTCCTCTGTTAGTGACAACCTGATGCTGACTAAGTGTAGCAGATCTTCAGCAGGCCAATCTCATGTACCCCATTCAGTGGCCTGAGCCCCTGGCTACCAGGCCTACAACTCACCATGGTCCACCAGTTCCCTCACTTCTTCAAGTTAGGATCCCTGCCTGTGTTATCCTGAAGGCTTAAATCTAAAAAACTAAAACAAGACCAAAAAAACCAAGGTGACTGTGGTAGAGAACCACCTGGATGCCAAGTGGTCACGTACCTCATCTTCTACCTGAGACCAGGGACTGCAGAGGTAGGGAGAGAGGAAGAGGGGCTACCCCTGGGCTGTCCTAGCAAAAGGGCCGTACTTAGGCTCTGTGGCACTAAACCCATGTGTTTCCCCATACAACAGAGAAGTGTGTATGTGAAAAGAAGCTATACCTACCAGGTGGCTAAAAAAAGAAGGTATAACCACCAGGTGGCCAAAGTTTGCCTGGCTGAGGTGGAGGCTAGGTCTGGTAAGGCTGAGTGTCTACCTCAGGCAGTAAGCTCACAGACTCTAAGGAATACTGTCCAGTCCCTCACACTGTCCACCATGCTCCCTCTCCAAGGGCAAAGAGGAACTTGGGCAGTCCGTAAGTGTGTGCATATACACACATGTTGGACGCATTTGTGTTATTCTGCCCGAGCACCACCCAAGAATCCACAAGCAGTGCAGCCCTTTGCCTTACTGCAGATCTGAGCCCCACAAACACATGAAGCAGAGGCTCCAAGGCCCAAACTAGGAGATGGCTCCCCTGGAAAACAGGAGGCAGCCCCCAGGGCTAGCCTGCAAGAGGTTCCTGTGCCACCCTGTGGCTGTGCTGGGAACTACACCTGTTCCGGGTCTGGGCCAGGCCCAGCAGAACTGCAATGCTAGGTTTGAAGGCCCAGGCACATTGCCCAAGTCCTGGGGACAGGGGACGAGAGGTCAGCTAGGCCTGTGCAAGGACAGCATTTTCTGGTTGTGGTGTATGACTGTGAATTCACCCTCTGTTTACAGATAACTCTCTTCACTATTCCTAGGAGGAAAAAGAAATGCATTCGGTACTTACCCGGAGAAGGCCGCTGCCCCAGCCCCGTTCCTTCCGATGACAGTGCTCTAGGCTGCCCCGGGTCCCCAGCCCCCCAGGACTCGCCCTCATACCTCCTGCTGCCCCACCTCCCCACAGAACTGCTTGCTAGTCCTGCGGAGCCGGCGCCTACATCACCAGGGGTCTCAGCCGCTCTCAGCCTCCCAGCCCCCTGGACCCCCCCAGGCCCTCCCCGGCACCCTGCAGAGTACACAGGTGCAACGACAGGAATCTCAGAGACAGGCAGCCTAGCATGCACAGGACACCTGGCCGCCTCCAGGGGCCCATCCTCTGAGAGGAAGCGACAGAGCCCCAAAGCACGTGGACACTGGCCAGGGGCCCTGTTACCTCCCTCTCAGGGAGCAGGCTCAGGAGACTTCCGAGGCTGCACAACTTCTGCCTGAACCTGGGGCCATCAATTCCAACTGCTCCAAGTGGTGGGAATCAGATCGGTGTTGTGTCATCTGATTAAGGGCATCCCTTGTGCCTACAGCAGCCTGCATCTATTCCTTTTATCACCTGTCTTGCTGGCCAGATGCCCCCTGCCTCCTCTGCTTTTCTGCTATAGGTCATAGATGGGCGGGACTGAGCCCAGCTGCTTTCCGTACCCTACACCTCCCCAGTCCCACCACTGCCACACCCTCCCCATACCAGACACTTCATGGACCAAGAATGAGCTGGTTTATGAAACAACACCTCAGCATGGTCACAACCACATGCTCAAGAGGACAATGCTTCTCTCAGGCCCGGAGAAGCCCCATTGACAGAAAAGGAGTAATCATTCTTAAGCTGGACCAGAAGGAAGCCTCTTGCCATGTTCTCAAGAGCTTGCAAGACAAGGAGGGAATGGAATGGGTTAAATCTAGGCCTATCACCCTAGGCAACAGGAATGACCGGACACTACCTTATCAGGCAAGTATGGGCAGTGAGACCTACCTGGCTCTGGTTCAGATTACTTGGAAATGTTTTCAAGAGAAACTCAACCTCCCCAGAAGCTCTGATTACCAAGGTCCCAAGCCTGTCTCTAATGGCTGAACTCAACAGCTGAAAGAAATTATGGCCCAAAACCCGGTGTGCATCCCTCCCTACTCCAAGAGCCTCTGTCACAGCTCCATTTTCTGCTTTATCCGTGTCAGTCTTGGCAGCTCTTGAGCAGCTGAGGGCAAACCTCATGACAGCCAGTGTCTACCTTTCAGCACGAAACAGGCCAGCTTCAGTTTCCCGATGGGGCTGCAGGAAGGACCATCACCATCAAAGCAAGGAGCCCAGAGAACCTCCAGTGGTAGTCAGTGGGTTTTCACCACAGCCTACTTTCCCATTTCTGAGCCAAGCTTCAACCCTGAGCCTTAAAAAAAAAAAACAAACTTTTAATTTAATTTTTTCCCCCTCTTCCTCACTGTACATAGCCTGAATCCAAAGAAAAAGGGCTGTTCCTATACCCGTACATCCCTCAACAAAAGCCTTTAGTTCCTAACTTTAGCCACTGGCTTCTCAGAATCCAAAGAACATATATTCTAGTGTAGTGTTGCAAGAAGTCTTGAAAGAAAAGGACTATTGTAGTGTTCAAAATATTTTTGTATTGTTAATGCATCATCAAACAAAAACTTTTTTAACATGAGAATAAAGATACTTTTTACTGGGTTTCGAAATTTTTCAAAGCTTGACCCTAAGGAATAAGCTGTTTCAGTAATAGAGCTTGACACTCTCCTTTTCTTACCCACAGCCATAAAACTTGGGGCTTATTCGCTATCATGGGACCCACATTTTCTCAAGACTTTCAATCAACAGAAGCCAAAGATTACTTTCCTCAACTCCCCTATTGGGGCTTAGGCCCTGCCCAGCCCCAACCACAAGAGCTAATAAGCTCCCTCTATGTGTAAACTCCTCAACCCTCGGACCTCACAAGTGATGCAGGGACAGGCCAGCCTGTATATGGGAATGGGCTGTAAACTGCCACCAAATACCCACACAACCACTAGGCTCCATCTTCCTCCCACAGAGAGAAAAGACCCCAACACTCCACAAGCACACATCCTATTTTGAAGCAAACCGGAGTCTCTCTTATAAGCTGGTATCAGAAAACTTGAAAGAGCATTTTAATAGCACCCTTTCCTCCCAAAGCTAATTGGGTGCTTAAAGTATCTTCCTATTTTTATACAAATCCTCTCCAGTTTGATAAATCTACAGCCTCCTTTTTAACAGCAGTTTCTATCATGTTTAAGAATACTGTTAACTCCTCAAACTCATCATGAATGTAAAAGGTGCAAAGCCACTTCAATAGGTCAAGCAGATCCCAAGTCACCATGCATTGTAATGTTCACGGAGATCTATTTTTGGGATTTTATGTTTAAAAATATTTATAAATAAAGTCATCTTCCAGAGTAGTGTCTATCTAAAGTAGGCCACTGGAAGTTGTAATCCCAGACTTGCTTTTTTTCCGGAAGGGTACGAGAGGAGACCATTCTCTCGACATCTGTCCCATTTAAAGAATTCCACTCTGGCCTAGTTGTTTCAAAAACTACATTTTAAGGCTTATGCAAGACTGGGTTGCTGCATCTGATTTGGTGTCTTATTTAGAGCACACTGGGTACAAGAACAATGCACCCTTTGTGTATGTGAGGGTACAGAGGGGGGCTCTGGCAACTTTGTTAAAATCAAACCAGCCTCTTAAAAAAAGTGACTTCAAAGAGGAAACTCAAATCCTCCTAGACCACACCAGCACATTCCTGAGGCCACAGGTGACTTGAAAGCGAAGCCCTAAATACAATTTCAAATAGTACACCAGTCCCACCTCTCTGCAAGCCAAGAACTAGCCCTGTTTTTAAGACCTCACAAGACAAGATGCCCCAACCTCCCTTACACATTCCCAGAAGAAAACAGGCAAACCGGCTTGGCATCTGTGCTGCAGCTGCTTCTCCTGTACTCAGAACACCGACGAGGGGGAGCTCAGCTCAGCAAGCTGCACCAAGTCTCTCAATTTGAACACACCCCCCCCCTTTTTTTTATATAGGAAGCCCTGTGGCCACTCTTTTCTAGCTGTATCTTTTTTTTTTTAAGATTTTATTTGACAGAGAGAGAGGGAACACAAGCAGGGGGAGTGGGAGAGGGAGAAGCAGGCTTCTCAAGGAGCAGGGAGCCCGATGCGGGACTCCATCCCAGGACCCTGGGATCATGACCTGAGCCGGAGGCAGTCGCTTAACGACTGAGCCACCCAGGCGGCCCACTATCTTTGGAACATCCCTAAAGCACCGCTGCCCACTCTGAGTGTACAGTAAGTCTGGCTAGAAAGGCCACAAGTGCCGGGAAACAGACTGATTCTTTACATTGTTCCAAAGAAGAAATGAAATAGGTTCCTGCATGCATTTCTAGAAAAACAGCCTAGAAAGGCCAAGGGTAACAAAGACTTGTCAAGCCTATATATCAAAGTAGAAGATTTGAGACCAAGAACAATTCCCTTGCCTTATATAAAAAAGCTGATTGGCTTTTCTTTGAAGTTAGAAAGGCTGCTTTATCATGACTTTCTCAGGTCTACCCAGAGCTTTAAGAGTTCACCAAGGGTCCCTGAAAGAGAGCTGACCACCCAAACAGACCCTGGTTCCTAGGCTCCATCAATGCCGACTATTCCAGTCACCTCTGTCCCAGAACTCTAATTCAGGTTCTTGGGCTCTCTACTGGCCTGGAGCAACTAATGGACCTTTGTTGGTCTATTTGTCCACAGTGGGCCAAAGGGGTCTGAGAAGAGCCCTACCTTATGTACTTAAACAGCAGGAGACATAGGTGGGGATATTCCTATAGTCAGTTGGCTAGAATCAAAGCCAGCTCAGGTCAGGAGAGATTTTTTTTGAAATAATAATATAATAATACAATAATAATGTGGGATTAGGCAAAGCAGTAACTGGAAAAAGCAAATTCTGTCCTAGGGGTAGGAACTGTGCTATCTCTTAGCAGTTCTCAGGAGTTCAGTCACAGAGAGTAAGGAGTCTTTTATCAGCTATAAATTATATAAAATATAGTAGTTCAAAGCTGGTACTTCTTTCAAGTTCACCTGGAGCTCTGGACCAGATCCTCCTTTTCCATTCAGGTATTCTCTCCTTTATCTGAAGGCTTATTCTTTTAAGCACGTGCAGTCAATTTGGGGGCGGGGAGGGGAGGAGGAATGGGTAGGGGAAGGGGAGAAATACGGAGGAATTAGGTCGAAGGAACAAAGCAAACCAAGCCAGCAAACAAAGGCCACTCTGGAAACTCCTCTTGAATGTCGTTTTCTGACAGTGCCGCTCCCTCTCCTCCCAACCCGTCCATAAGCCTCCAGCCTCTGCAGAGCATGTGAAGCAGGTGAGGAAGCTGTAAAAGAGCACACTCACCACGGCAAGGACAGATGTGCATCTGCACAACACAGGAGCTGAGAGCTGAAACCGAGCCCGAGAGGGACCGGGTGGGCTCGAAGGCTGGAAGGAGACGCAGGCTGGCATGCAGATCAGGTTTCAAGTCAAGCAGTGTCAGAAGGTCATGAGAACAGACACCGTAAGCAACTCTATTCTATATTCCTCCCACAAAATGCCTCTCGGTATTGGCACACACACGAGACGTAGCCAACAGTGTTAAGATGCCACAAGGCAGCAAGCATGTCATCTGTGAGTTAAATTATCACTCAAGTCCCACACCGGAAATCCATCAAACGAAAGCTCCCTGACCAACATCTTTATGCCACCAATAAGGTTCATATCCACTGACCGCTCAACAGTAAGGACAGCACTCAGTTGATCCTGCTTAGGTGTCCAAAAGGCTCAATGTTGGGCCACGGGACATATTCTCAACTTCTCACATCATTCGTCTTGATATGCACATCCAGTTCCCTTACTCATTCTGCCTTTTAGAGAGAGATTTTTAACAGTAAACAAAGGCATCAATTAGGACTCCAAATGCAAAACCCCCCATCACATCCTTCAGTACAATACTAAAAGAAAGTTTTAGTTCAACCACCCAAGGACTGCACTGCCTCACATGGGTCTGATCAACACTCTTCCTGGCCACCAAAATCCTATCACTAATCCAGCACAATGTCTCTTGCCAGCCTACACTCTCCAGCAGACCTGACACCCAACCCTCTGCTGGTGGTTCCACACTGCACTGCTTCCCCCCCTCACCTTGGCATCTCTCCATCCCCAACCAAAACCACCAATTAGTTTCTTCTCACAGAACCTTTCTTAGGCCCTTCCAGCCCTAGAACCCCCATTTACTCATTAATCTTGTTTTGTCCAGGAACATTTTTATTATGGTTCCTCATCCCCTCCTGGCAGTATTTATGCTTTGTCTCATTAGCTACACCAAAAACTCCCAAGAGAGAAACCATGGCTTACACTTCCTAAAAAGAAGCTAGGAGCTACACTTTAGAGATTCAGCCATTTCACAGGCTTTCCCTTTACTAGCAATCTTTCGCCTAATTCTCTTCTGTACTAGCCAGAAATCAGTTTTCATACAAACTAAATAACTGAGGATTATCATCTTTTTAAAGCTTAAGCAACTTCACAGGAAGAACACTTGATTCTTTCCTATTTAAATATATAGGGAGCTTTAGAAAAAATAAAGCTCTAAAACATCTTCAAATGGGAAGGGGTGGCAGAAGTTAAGCTTCAAAAGATAAAAGCTTCTCTGGCCATGGATAGAGTGAACAATGCTCAGATCAAGAGGTCTGCTGCTCTCTCAGTTCTTAACTTGTGCAAGTTACGTCCTATGCATGTATACATCGCCCTGTAAGAGTCTAGGCGACCTAATTTCTTAATTTCCCTTGGATCGGCAAACTACAGAATTGGCCAATTTTTAAATAAACTAAGAAATTGGGGCGCCTGGATGGCTCAGTCAGTTAAGCGTCCTGAGCTCAGAGTCCTGGGATCAAGCCCCATGTTGGGCTCCCTACTTGGCGGGGAGTCTGCTTCTCCCTCTGCCCCTCACCCCGCTCTCATGCTCTCTCCCACCCTCAAATAGATGGGTAAAATCTTAAACACACACACACACACACACACCAACAACAACAAAAATAAACTAAGCAATCATGTGGTCTGGAATATCTGCCTGCCCTGATTCACATGCTCATAGTGATTTACTCTCCTCCAGCTAGTTCCAGTCTAAGCTCCGCACTACCATTAATTCATGTTACTGGGTCGCAGTCCTAATAGTCCACCAAATCATGGTAAAGATCTTGTTTAATTCTAGCAGCTGGTATGTTCCAACAGATGCAGAATCAACAGATCACAGCTGCAATGCTGCTCAGGAATTTTTCCCTTACTGGGATGAGTCTGTGGATCTTTGGAAAAATATAAAAATCGCAAAGCAATACCTACCTTGTGTATTAAAGGTAGATTTATGAAGGCAAGCTAAAATACAAAATATAATAGCACTTCAAATGACATAACTTGCTTCTACAATGTAAGAATTATCAGAATCTGTTTGAGGGGGGCATATCCTTAATCCATGACAATGTCAGAGAAAAAGGAATAAGCTAATATTGAGAAGGAATATGGTTTACTCTCAATCGTGACACAGTCAATGAAAAGCTGAGAAGCCAAAGAACTTTCACACGGGGGTCTTCATCACCAACAGCACCACCATGCACATAGCTACCATTTCCAACTTACCCCAAGCCAGGTAGGCACTAAGAGGCAGAAACAGGAACCCAGCCTCACAGTACGACTTTGTGCCACAGTATTAGTTTAGAACAGCTGGGAAGTGAGAGGGTAGGAGAGAGTGTATCTCTGGAGACAGGTTTGGCTACTATGGATAATGCGAAAGAGCCACTCACTTTCCCTGGGTAAGGTGAGGGCCTAGAAAACTTTTGAAGACTTATTAAAGAAATAGCAACTAGCAGGCAAGAGTGAATAGGGCAGGCAGCATGCAGCAGTCAGTCTGAAGTGCCTCTGAGCACCCTACCTATGACTGATGTGGGCACACAATGTCCAAAAATGGCCTGTTTTCTCTTATATGAACTGTCAGATCTTTATTAAACCTGAGAGTTTAAGATTATCAGGACGCTTTATTTAAAGCCTAAGGCCACAGTCTACAGAAAATCAGGAAGAGAACAAAAATCTTAACTACTATATTGTCTGTCCACTCAGTCTCACCTATTCAAAAAGATCCCAGTGTCCTTTAAATATGGGTAGTGCCATTATTTAGTCCTGTAATCCCAACAATCCTTGGAGGTTATAGAGATTGAGAACAGAGAACAGTAATAGGTTTTGTCTCCTGGAAGCCGTTATCTCCTTTCCAAACTACACAAGGCATGTGCTAACAATCCTCACCTTTCAGTTAAGAGTTCTATTTTTTTTTTTAAGATTTTATTTATTTATTTGACAGAGAGAGAGAGAGACAGAGAGACAGGGAACACAAGCAGGGGGAGTGGGAGGAGAAGCAGGCTTCCCGCGGAG